AATCAGGGGGGCGACGAGCACGAACCGCTCGAGGATGCTCTTCTCCGATGTCATCCTCGTCCGTCTCCTTGAGCCGCGGGGTTATGGCCTCCGTCGACTCAAGGCGCGGGAACTGCGGCACGACGCCCAATGACTTCACGAGCGCCGCCTCCAGGACGTCCTGCTCGTGCTCTGGCTGGTCGTCCTCCATCAGACCACTTCGCCGATTCAATACTTCTTGCGAACTCGCGCCACGGAGCCGCCACCAGGTCCGCTGGGACCAGGCGCAGCCGCCAGGGAGGCGGATCCCGACGTGGCAAGGCCTGCTTCGCCGCCGTCGGTGGCGCCTTCAGATTGCATTGTTTGCCCTGCTGCCTCTCGGTCTTCTTCGCTTCCACACACGGCGTACTTTTGAAGAATTTCTTGGTGAGCGGCTTGTCCTTCTTTGGCATCTCCGCTTTCGGCTGGGCTGCCGCTGCTTGGCCTTCTTCGGTACTGCGCGCTGAGCGCACACCGCCGCCCAGCGCATTGGCTTGGCCCTCGACCTCTTTTTGGGCGTCGCCTCCGGAGACGCCAACGGCTCCCCCCGCCCCAGGATCGCAGCCCGGTATTCACCCGGCGCCTGCGGCTTCGTCTGCGGCCTCTCCTTGAGCTCTGGCGCCTTGTCGCTCACCAGCCGCCTTGTCGCTGGCCGGCTCCCGCTGCACCAGCCGCCTTGTCGCTGGCCGGCTCTCCCACGGCACACAAGTCATGGAATTCCACTCCTCCCTGACCGCGCGCCACCACTGCGCTAGGATCTCCGGGGGCCCCAGGGGCCAGCACCTGGTCCAGCAGGCGCTCCGCCAGGGACACGGCGTATACGTCGACCGCAACACTTCGGGCGTGCACACGAATCCACAGCCAGGGATCGGCCTTTCATCCCAGCCGCCGAGAGCCCCCCGCACGCTGGTAAGCTGACAGCCTCTCGGGCCGCCTGGCAGCTAGGAGGAGGAGGAGGAGGAGGAGGAGGAGGAGGAGGAGGAGGAGGAGGAGGAGGAGGAGGAGGAGGAAGGAGGAAAAGGAGGGGAGGAGGAGGAGGAAGGAGGAGGAGGAAAGGAGGAGGAGGAAAAGAAAAAGGAAAAGGAAAAGGGGGGTAGGGTGAGGAAGGTGAGGAAGGAGGAGGAAGAGCAGGAGGAGGAGGCGAAGGAGGAGGAGGAGGAGGAGGAGAGGAGGAGGAGAAGGGGAGGAAAGAGGAGGAGGAGAAGGAGGAGGGGGGCAGTAGGAGGTCAGGATAAGGAGGATGACGAGGCGGAAGAGGAGGAGGAGGAGGAGGAGGAGAGAGGAGGAGGGGAGGAGGAGGAGGAGGAGGTGGAGGTGGAGGCGGAGGAGGGTGATGAGGGCGAAAACGACGAGGGCGGGGGCGCTGGTGAAGACCGCCTCGGCGGGCGCGCGGACCGCCACGAAGGCGGCCACCAGGATGGGAGTCCCCAGGCGGCTGAGCAGCAACACGTCGAGTGGCACCCCGTGCCCAGAGCACGGGCCCCTGGCGAAGGGCGACGTCGTCGTCCGCTCCCTCCCCCCTCCCGTTTGATATCAACTCGTTTGAGGCCAGCTCGTGTCCACGCCCCCCCAAACTCCGATATCCATCGTTATTGTCATCACCGTGACTTTCATCACCATCGCCATCGCCCTCATCATCACCACCCCCACCATCAATCTCCTCATCACTACCACCAGCACCAGCAATATCACCATCACGATTATTATCACCATCACCATCACAATCATCATCATCATCAGCATCATCATCATCATGATCATACTCATCATCATCACCAGCAGCATCATCATCATCCGCATCCGCATCACCATCATGATAGTACCAACCATAATAAGCACTCATACTAATATAACATAATCAAAAACAACAGCGTAGAACGGGGACTCCCCGCTGCAACGTCCCGGCGGAGAACCGCGGGTCACGCCCGTAGGCCGCGAGGAGGGCATCCACTTCCACGCACATATCCTCCTTGACGTCCACCACCTCATCCTCCTCCGTCCTCCGCAACAAGTACCTGCTCGTGCACCTTCTCAAGCAGCGCCACCCTGGCATCCCCCTCCCCGTCGTCCTCACCTTCCTCCTGCCCATGCCATCCTGGTCCTCCTCCTCCTCCTCCTCCTCCTCGCCTCGTCCTGCTGCTGCTGTTCCTCCTCCTCCTCCTCCTCCTCCTCCTCCTCCTCGTCTTGCTGCTCCTCCTCCTCCTCCTCTTTTACCTCCTCCCCCTCCTCCTTCACCTGCTCCTGCACCAGGTCATGAATAAGACGCGGCAGACTGCATGAATAAGACGGCACCGATGCACCTACATCCGCGGGCAGCTTGCGCGCGGGTGAACGCGCAACCGATCCCCGCGGCATCGCCCCCCCCCAACTTCAAACTAGGCAGTGCAACTGCACGGTGCAACGGACAGCTGCTGACAAAGCCTCGTCTCCCCCCTGGGGGGCGGTTAACCCGTCCATCCCGCTACCAGACCGTGGAGGCCTT